TTTAGCAGTCTGCAAACATACAAAGGTAGTAAGAGCTATAACTGCTCCCTCCATACCTGCCAGTGTGACCTGTGCTGCCTGGGAACCAACATTTTAACTGGCATTAATGGAGTGCGTATAATAAAAGCTCACTCTTAATTAAAACACAAACAAGCGAGCCTTCTACAGACTTCTCCAGTGAGAAGTACTACAGAGTACACAAACTCTAACTGCCCTCTACAAAATTCGAAAGGGTTTTGATAGAAGCCACATCCCCATACATTGTGAGTCAAACGAAGGAATCCAAAGTGAGCTGCCTGGATGAACAGCACCTCGCATCAACTGGGCACTTGTTAGGATAATTCTGCAGAGAGTCAAAGCTTTCAGTTTGTTTGGAACTACCCAATTGGAAACTCCAAGGATGGGCTCAGAAAAGAGCATTTCACAAGGCCTTCTGCTGACATTCACACACTGTTGGACTGGCTCAGGGTTAGCAAGGACTGAACTATACATTGGGGACATTAGTGCCTGCAGTAGAGGACATGGGGCTTGCTCCTGCTGTCACCGACTTCAGTCCAAGTTAATGGACAATCATCTACAGGAACTGCTCTACTCAGTGGTTCTCAACCTTCCTAATGCTGCAATCCCTTCACACAGCTCCTCATGTTGTAGTGACCCCAGCCATAAAATTATTTATTTTCATCGCTTCTTCATAACTAGAATTTTGCTACTGCTATGAGTTGAAATGTAAATATCTGATATGCAGGACATCCTGTGAAAAGGTCATCGACCTTCAAAGGGGTCACGACCCATGGATTGAGTACCACTACTTTAAAGTGATGCAGTTTTTGATGACACTACCAGGGGAGGCATCATAAAGACATGGTCAGTGTACCCCTATTCTAAAATTTCTCCGTTTCTTTCTCCCCTTTGTACATTCCAAATAAAACAGCGCTTCTAAAGATAATGCAAGATATACTTACATGTTTTGCAATGGTCTGTGTCTTCCGAATACTTTAATGTAGCTTACGTTCATCTTTCACAGCTCTCTGCTATAAAGTTTAATCTACTGGGAAATTGTATGTCAGTTTAGAGGCCTCTAATGACCACCCCCTAAATTAACAACCAGTTTTTGAGAAGAGACCATAGGAGGCACTTTCATAGAAAATTATAGCTAACATTTACAACCTTCGAAAAAGCTGTCCAAAGACAGCAAATACGCTCAATTTACGAATACAGAAAATATATTAAAACATATAACATGAGATTACACTAAAATGAAACACTATTCATAAAGCATGTTAATGCAGTACTATTTATTACAAAAACTGGTATTATTGCAGGAAAAAAGCTCCCTTCTCCCAGTAATGGGATGGAGAGCTAATGGCATTATAAAATTTTATAAAGAAATCTTTATTTCCTTCTTATGCTCATATATGATATTTCCTTGAAAAGCTTAACGTTACATTAAAATCTGAATAGTTCAACAGGACTTACTAGCTCTAAAACGTATGGACTGCTTTATAACCCAAGAGAAACAGTGCCGATAACCTGCACCCCACCCCCAGACACAAAGCACTCTTCAAGATCTCCCTTGCTTCTGCTGCTTCGGTGTCCCATTCCACAGTAGTTTCTGTTGAACTCAAATATCTCATCCCTTCCCATGAGAAGCCTGGATCACCTGGAGATGGCTCTTACATGGGTGTCTATTTACCAGGCTGGCCTGTAGGATGAGTGAGGGAGGAGAAGGCCTCATCTCCTCTCGGGTTGTCTGTACAGCCTCCACTTGTACCTTCCGCCCCTCTAATCAGCAGTTCTGAGTGAGTTCAGGAATTTGGGTTTCTGCTCGATGATTCTAGCTAGTGTCTAGCACCAAGTCTTCACGACCGCAGTTCACGGGCTCACTAAAGTCACCTCATACTGTGTCCACAGTTGCAGCTGTGGTTCAGAGAAGTCGCCATTAGTTTTGTAGCCACACATGGGATGGACCATTTGCCGGAGGCATCTATTGTGAGTGTGTGAACTTTCTGCCAAGGCCAGGCACCAGTCCAGTCGGTCCGTGCTGTTGTAACTCACTGAATTTAGACTTGCCTACTTCCTCAGCTCATTATATGAGCACATGAGCTCACATTTCTACTGGTCCCGAAGCCCTGAAAGTGGAACTCACACTTTACCTACGGTGAAACAGTCTCTCTCAGATCCTCAGCAAACCACTGGAATTTCCACACTGCACAGTGTCTGAAAGGAACTAGAATGATTCATCCTCAGGGTCTTTGCACAGCTGCCCCTGCCTCTGGGACCACTCAGCAGCAGGCCCAGGGAGCCCAGGGATTTCCCAACAGTGAGAAAGTAAACACCACAATTTAAAATTGTCCTCAGCATGGCCTACAAAAAGGCAAGTCTTTTCAGACAATCCATTCCAATCAAGCACTGGCTCATCAACCTGAGAGACCTGCTTCAATAAAGGAAGCAGATACTTCAGGACATGGAGGATCTTTTCCCTACTCATCTTAATGCTGTGCAGATCATCCTTCTTGGCTCTGAGTCCTGTGGCATCTGAGGGATGATGGTGCTCAAAGCCATGCTCAAAGCCTTCCCTTTCTATGCCCACTTACACTCAACAGGTTTCCATCACAGTATCTCTGTACTAAATCATTTAGCTAGCAACGAAAGGCATATGCATCTGATAATCATTGAGAAAGTCTTTTCTTGATTTACTGTATCTATATGATATTTTTTTATATGAAGGGAATAACCAAGCATTCTGTACAGTCCTGAGGATGGAATCCAAGATCTCAAACATGCCATACAAGCCCTCTACCACTGAACCACACCCCAGCACATCTCAGAACACTTCTTATCCTCCATCAAATAGACTTAACAATTCAGATTTCACATTTAACTAATTAATGAGCGTTTTGCAGCATGCCTCTGGCATGTGCCATGAGTTGGCATGTGTCTGCAGACCTTTAGCCATGTGCAGCTGATGTACACACATACTCCACACATGTGCCTTTCTAGAGCGTAATAAAGAAGGCATGTTAGTTTGGTTTTGTAGTTTTCCTCCCTGTCTGGCTTTAGTCTCTGTGATTTTCTTTTTACCTACTTAGCAAATCAAAAGGCATAATCAATTATTTAAAAATAATTCAGAGGCCAAGAAACTAAAATATAGCACCCAAGGAAAACAGACATAAAACACTTGTAATCTACCTGGAGAGATAAAATCCCAGGGAAACACTGGGAGGGTGGCTACCTGCCTACTTCAAGTCATTTCAAGGGCAGCAAGTGCCTGCCAACTGGAAGATGCTTTGTGGGCTGCTGTGGCAACTCACGCTCCCTTGCCTGGTGTTACAGCTCTTCTGCCACAGCTGCAGGCGATAGCTCAAGGTCTTTTTGAGAACCAAATATAGAAGAGCATCAAAAGTACAAAGTAGGAAGTCTATTTGGCATGACAAAGCCATTTCAAACTAAAACTAAACCTTAAAAATTTGAAAATTCTAAGACTTTAAAAATACTATCTGACATATAAAAATGCATACCCAGTCTAACACAAGAGTGTAAGAAACGAACCTTAAGTTACATGTATACAACACAGACAGCATTTTCCATAGCAGCAGGTTTTAAAGTGTTCAAGATCTGGGACAAGACTGGCCAATCCCTGAAAACTATTACTATATTTGTATGTTGGTTTTCTCAGTCACCTCTGATTAGCTTTGATCCTAACTTCTGAGTTTCCAGGTCATTGCCTGAAAACGTAGAAGGGTGTTTCATAGGCTGTTTAAACCCTGATTGTTAATTCATTTAGTGTGGAATAATGACTACTCATGTGTTGGTAATTTGCAAACCAACAGGTCCTACGCAAACAAAAGCTGTCTGTGTCTAATACAATGTTTTTCAGTATATGTTGGTAGTGTTATACAGCAGCCATGCACTTTTGATGGAATATCTATGTATCTATTTAAGATTTGGCCAGCCATTCAAACCAGTTTTAATCTCTCCCTCTGGATCTGGAAAAAAATGAGGCTATATTGTTTCAAAGAATAAGTCCCCAAGTAACTGCGGAAGGTTCCTCGATGCTGGCCCACTGTGATTAAGAATGTCTTGATGACTGATGCTCTTGAAATGACTGCCTGATGCCCTTTTCTGCTGCACTGTCTTGAGAAGCTTAAAAAGCCACACAAGCACGCCTTTCTCCTATTCCACGGAATGCATTAGTAAATTCTCCATTCTCTATGGCTTATTAGTCCTTCTCAAAAGAAAAAAAATAGCATGCTGCCAACCTGGCTATGGAATCAGAGGCAGATGGGAGTGAGATTTGCAAGTCACTGAAAATGGAAAAGTCATTGTCTGGAATGTGGTGCTGGTATGACTTGCTTTCAGACGGTTTGCAGGGAGAGCTTTCTGTGTGTAAAGTAATAAAACTAATTAAGCTTGCTCAAGTACTGCAGCCTCATAGAGATTTGAAAATGCACCCAAACCACAAACTAATGAGATCAAAGAAAAAGGATGAGCTCTCTTGCTGTATTAGACTAGTCTTTCCTTTTGTTGCAATCTAAACTTTTCTAAATACAGGATCACCAATGATTCAATCTGAGGTAGAGGAAAGATCTAGAGTGTCCTCCCTTCCTCTCCATTTGGTTTAGGGACATCAATGGATATTTGTACAAGTTGGTTTACTAATATGAAAGTTTCTGTAGTAACCTGGGGCTTCCATTTAAAATAGAAAGATAATAAAGACTATCCCATTTAGTCTGCTGCCTGCTTCAGGGCCAACCAACCATTTCCTTTGAGTCTACATCAGTAAGTTTAAGATTTCTGGGAGGGCTTAGCACACCAAACTTCTGGAAGTAGCCCAAAACTAGATGACCTAACGTGTTATTTGGCCTCGTTTCTTTATAAGGAGAAGGAAGGTCTGGCTTTCCAAGCAGGCACAGGAGAACAAGTGCAGTCTACTGACACAGCGGATGCAGACGACCATGGATGAATTCTCAGTTGAACCAGAGTTGCTGTTACATTCTTACCTGGATAGAGTTCAGGCCCAGGCCCTGGCCCTGGGGAGCATCCCACAGCACCATCAGCAGCAGCATCTCTGGGGGAAGTGGCTGGCTGTAGGGGCTGCACAGCGAGACAGTCCGTGAGGAGATCTGGATGGAGCTCAGTGCTAGACCGTAGCTGAAAGAAGAGAAAAGAATAGAGATGAAAAAAGCTGGTCCTTAGATTAGAACGCTTATCTGGAAAGGCCTCGTGCCCCAAAGGTTGATTCGATCCAGTCCACAAATGTTTCTCAAGCAGCCACAGAGGGATAGGCATGAGTGTAACAGCATCAACAGAAGGGTTAGTTCTCCAACTCTACAATGCCTGGCAGGTGCTTCAGGAAACACGTGGCTATAGACTTTGATAGCTGCACTTCTGAGAACCCAACTTCCTATCACAGTTCCGTTTATTTGCTCCCTCAGTATCTAATCAGAAGTTGTAGTGATGACAAAAACAAACTCAAACAGACTTTGTCCACATTGGAAAGTTCTTTTTAAGAACAGTGATACTGGCACACACACACACCAAAAAAAAAAAAAAAAAAAAAAAAAAAAAGATCAGGAGAAAATTCAGAGATTTCCACTGAGGTTTGATGCTTAGGAAAAAAAAAATTATGCTTAGGAAATTTACATGAGAGCAACATACTCAGGATAAAGTTTAAATATAGAAATATAGAAAATGATTAAATGAAACTGCTAACAACACCAAACCCCAATACTATGTCACACCCAAAAATTAGGAATTTACATATTCATTTAGTCACACATAATTCATTCTACATGTAAGTCACATGTAAAAATTAACCCAAAATATTTAAAATGTAATGTGAGTGAAAACTTACCTGATTCATTTTATTACGTGTGGGTGTCCGTTTGTGCAAGTGCTTGTATATGCATGTGTGTATATGACTGTGTGTGGGTAAGACAGCATGTGTATGTTGTCTGTGTGTGAATGTGTGCGTGTGTCTATGTGTGTATGTATGCATGTGTCTGTGTACATATATGTATGTATGTGAATGTGCGTGTGTGTGTGTGTGTGTACGTGTGTGTGTGAATGTGTGCATGTGTATGTGTCTAGGTATGTATGTAAGCTGAAGAAAGAAGCTTTGGTGTCTCTTCAGGGTACCATCAACCTCCTCTAAACAGGGGCACACTGGCTCACAGTTCACCAATTAGACTGGACGGGCTGACCAGTGAGCCCCAGGAACCCCACTATGATTACAAGTATTTATGTGGCTACTGGGGGTTGAACTCCAGTCCTCAATGCTTGCAAAGCAATCAGTTCATGAACTGAATTACCTACAACCCCAATATCTTTACAAACATAAATTTTGTAAATGTAACTTGAATGAAAGTTTACAATGGAACATTTGATGACATAAAAATATTAACCTAATTGTGTTAAAAAGAAACACAGTATTTAAAGAAATCTAAAAATGTATTACTTAGAAATATCATAAATGCTTATCTTCAGTATTTAAAAACTGATTATAAACTGACTTTAAAGACAACATTATGCCTTAAGATACAGAGACAGAGTATTCTTATTCCTTTGACAAATGCCTCCTGACCCTCTGGACTCTAGGAGTATTCACCGTCTTTATGCGACTCTGATTCTTTGTGGAAAGATGATGAACAACCATAAAGTGGGCAATGCTAATCACTAGAGAAAGTGATGTATGGAAAGGAGATCATGAGGGTATGTGGGTGGGGGCTAGTTTGGGACAGTGATCAGGGAGCACTTGGGGCTAAAATTGGTAACAAGCCAGAGAAGAATTGAAGCAAGGTGACCTGCAGAGTGGGAGCTGGAGGCTGGAGGTGCTGGCCTGCATTGCTCTGTGTCTAAATGACCAATGGAATGGCATGGCTGGCACAGGGAGAACATGAAGCCCAGGGATCAGAGATAGAAGATGCAAAGAGGACTGGGGAAAAACAGTGAACAAAGTCTTGGCACAGGCAACATCTACAAACTGAAACTGCTTCATCCGGAGAGAAGGTTGAAAGCGAGAACTAAAGAATGTGATACATATACAACGAGAATTACAGAAGCAGAGGCCATGAATTCAAGGGGGCGGGTAAAGGGGACAAAGGCCAAATTAGGGGTGGGAATGATGTAAATACAGCACTCATGTATAACTTCTCTAAGTTTTAAAAATGCTCGTGCACATATAACAATTGCATGGCATGATAACCCTAATGGCACAGTGGCAGTAACTGTCTTATTGGTCTTAAGACTCACTCAACAAGAAGGATAACAGCTTCTGCTACTGGAAACCGAGCCAACTACTCAATGCTAGTGAAGTCAGAGATGTTAGAGGAGAAACTACAACCACCACTTTCCTAAACCAGCATGATTCCTAACAACAATCTAAAGATTTGCCTTTATACCTACAGGTAAGTATAGTCCTCATGTCTCCTCAAAGAAACTTCTCTTTACAACAGAGACCATTAGAGGAAACCACAACCAATCAAAAGGCAGTTGTGGAGCCCAGTCCCAAAGGATCCATCCATGAAACATTCCCACATCTAAGGCTCAGGGGACACTACAGAGGAGGGCAGAGAGAGAGAGTGCAGGGATCGGGGTGTTTTCTGTGTGACTGTGATTCCTATTAAAACCAGACACTATACTCATCAAGTCTCACCATGACTGCCTAAACATGAACTGAACAAGGGCAGCAACAATAACTCAAGCCACAGTAGGTGGGGGAAATCCCGAGGCTTCAACCCACACAAATAACTATAGGCAACTAAGAACTGTGGAGGATAGGTGAAACAGTCTTTGCCAGGGAAGGGTACACCAGCTGGTTATTCAAGAACAAATGGTCAGCTCTGAAAACATACATTTAAGTAAATTATATAGACTGTGTGGGGTTCATTTAAGAATATATATGTGTATATTATAGATGTAACAGCAATTAATAAAAAAAGGTCATAAATTTGTAAAAAAAAAATAGCAAAGACGAGTATATGAGAAGGTTTGGAGGGAGGAAAAGGAAAGAAGAAATGATGTAATTATAACCTCAAAAGGTACATTTTTGGAAATGTTTAGTGCAGCTATTCATTAAGTATTTTGTTTTCCAATACAATAACTATAATGTTTTAAAAGCTATTCACTACACTTGCCAAGAAGGACCTTAACACTGACTTATTAGGGGCTGGAGAAATGGCTCTGTAGTTAAGACAGCTTGTTACTCTTGCAGAGGGCCTGGGTGCAGTTGTCTGTGAAGACAAAGTACACATGTGGTATTCATACACACTGATAGCAGATGTCTTTCTGTATAAGTGTTTCTCTTATTGGTTGATGAATAAACACTGTTTAGCCAATAGAGGCAAGAAGATAGGTGGGGCTATGAGATGAGGAGAATTCTGGGAAAGGTAGGCGCAGAGAGGCAACCAAAAGAGAGAGGCCATGTAGAAATACATAGATTAGTAGTTATGGGTTAATAATTAAAACAGAGCTAGCCAATATGAAGCCCTAGCCTCCAGCCAACAGTTTTATAATTAATATAGCATCTCTGTGTGTTCATTTGGGGCTGAAGCATAAATTTAAAATACTAAAAATAATTTATCAGCTCATCAAAACTTTCATGAAAGTATCTATGCTAGTGATATCACAGGTAGAAATTCATGTTTTTTAGTAGGTGACTGTGTTGTTGCAAAATTTATAGTGAGCATCAGGGAATAGCTTTTCAAGACCCACAATCTAAACAATTTGATTCTTGAATCTGTCCTAAGGAAATACCCAGAAACATGAAGGACAATGGATACTCAAAGACCTATCTATTCATTCTCCTAATGATATACAGCATGATTTATAGCAATACCCCAAATTACAAAATGCTCCTAAAAAATCATACTAAACATACTATGTTTATAATGATGGCCAAACAAAAATTTTTTTATATACAAGATGTTAAGAGTAGCTGACATCCCATATAAAATGAAATCTTTTCTGCTTTCCAAATACTCCACATTCCAATGGTGAACTACAGCCGCCGATTTAAGAGCATCTGTGTAGGAGCCGGGTGTTGGTGGTGCAAGCCTTTAATCCAGCACTCAGGAGGCAGAGGCAGGCGGATCTCTGTGAGTTTGAGGCCAGTCTTGTCTACAGAGTGAATGCCAGGACAGCCTCCAAAGCAATACAGTGTCTCAAAAAAGCCAAGAGTATCTGTGTGTGTGTGTGTGTGCCTCTTATCTGCAGTCTTTATAGTGATGTCACACAGATCGCTTGGAACTGGTCCTGGTGAAAATATTTACAGTATGGAGACTGGCAACTGCTCTATACTAAGGTTTCTCATCTGTAGTTCTGGCTGCTAAGTATCACGAGAACATGACTGATGGAGACTGTGAACTGTACCCTGACCAAACACAAGGACAGTCTGCCTCAGATGGGATACTGTTTGCGCCTCACAAGTTCATGAGTTCAGAGCTAGGCTCCTGGTGTGAAAAGGAGGAGAGATGGAGAGACCATTCAAATGTGGTGCTAGAGGGAGTTGGTTAGTCCATAGACAGTGATATCCTCAAAAGACACTAGGGTAGATCCTATAGGACCCCAAGTTGATTCTCAAGCAAATGAGGGGGAGCCTAACCCTTAAATCACTATGTGGATGCTGTCTACTCTTTTAACTTGTGCTCCCACTGTGATACCATCTATGCGACATCCATAGGGGCCCTCACTTTGGCCAACAACAGTGTTTGAACTTTAAGACCTTAAAAACAGCTAACTAAACCTATTTTCTCATAAGGTGTCCTGCCTTAGATTATTTTTTATAGCAATGAAAAAAATGAGGACACACACACACACACACACAAACGCACAGACCCACACACCCACACACCACCACCAACAAAACAAAATGGCACTTCTTGGATTTCTTGGATCTCAAATGAGATTAAACCTATACCCAGACCTTAGATAAGAATATGAAAACATCAGGGAGAACTAGGTAACAGAATTACCATTTAGCTCACATAGCAATGAGATCATCACAACTTCCTCAGGTATGGAACACTGAACCTTATGACCAGGACTGTCTATGCCCTCTCAGGGCCTTTGGAAGATAAGTTTGTTGTTCCTCTGAACCTAACTCATGCTGCTTAAGAAAAACTGGGGTGGAAAAAAAACCAAGGCTTAGAATG